TTTCCCTTTAATTGAAATAAGTGCGTTGTATTTTATGTGTTTTGTGCGATATTTTCTCTTGCAAATGTTAAAATTATTGACATTAATGGACCCATTCAAATATTTTTTTTCCATTAAAAAACTAGTCCCTAATATTCTTTTTTCATTCTAAAATTAATGATCCCATTTCTTTTCTCCTTTTCTTCACTCTATCAAATTTATATATATAGGGAATAAAAACATGCAATAACTAATTGTAATGGCCAACTTAAACATCAGATAAAAAAAGTCCTCAATATTCTTATTTCTGATAAAAAATATATCCTCCAATTTTTTCTTTCCTATTTTTTTAAGGGCAAACTTGTTGTAGTATTATTAAGCGCAACTCCAACCATGCTAGGTATTTCATTTTTTTAGTTAAAATAGCTAAAGATTTAGCTTTTTTTTTCACTTTTCTTAACTCTAATCATTGGCTAAATAGTTAGCTATTTTGAAGAACCCAATTCATGCTAACTAAATTTAGCTAGCATGAAGTGGCTAGTTATTTTATTTTGTACATTATTTTATTCCCTCAACCGTATTAATAAATGCACTCACAACGGTTTTTTTTTTTTTTTTTTTCATCTTCAAAATTACACCAATTAATCAACTTAATGTACCTAATGGTCATTTTTATGGTCTTTGATAAATAGACGAGTTCAAGTATTTTGTATTTCTCATTTTTGTTTGCTTCCGAAAGCACTATCCATCTGTTTATGGATTATGAAAAAGATTCATATTAATCTTCTCCGTGAAGATGTAGACATCAACGATCAATTATTGACAGATCAAATCCTAGCCAATCCACATTACCATCTCAAATTCTTTCTCAAACCGATTCCACAACCAAGAAACCTCAAAGGTCCCGCGACTTTTCAGTTGAAGAAGAGTGCCTTCTAGTATCTGCATGGCTTAACATCAGTGTTGATGCAATACAAGGTAATGATAAAAAAATCTATGAAACATTGGCAAAACGTTCAAGACAGTTAGGATAAGCCCTAAACCAAGAAACAAGCTTCACGCAAAGAAAAAGCTAAATTCGCTAATGTGTGGGTAGCTATATTGCTATGGATACATGAGTAACCACCAACTTTTGTCATTAGGACATTAATATCCTTAATGATTGGATCTACCGCAGCAAAAAATTGTTCCCACTAATTATGGAAGAATAAAACATTTATAACAAATTGTGCAGCTTCTTTCCTATTTTTTTCTTTTCATTGTATCAAACATAGAAGAAATAAAAACATGTATAACTAGTTATAGTTCCACGCTTAACATGAGATAAAACTAAAAATTTAATGCTAAATACAGGAAACTCGAGAAAATAATTAAAATTATAGTCTTTACATGCGAAAAAGAAATTATGTCCTCTGAAAATATTATAACAAATATTTCCAAGAATAATAGTAATGATTTTGAAATATGTTTTTAAAGGGAATTGACCAAACCTTTTCAGAATAAGTAATAAATAAAGAGAGTTAGCTTAGAAATTTACTTCGGGTCAGGCTGCATGCACGTCCTTCAATCAACTAGTGATGTTAAAGAAAAATAATATACAAAACTAACTTTTATATTTTTGAACAAAGAATTAATCAAATTATTACAAAAGGAAACTTTCTTAAAATTGCTATTAATTAAGTCAACGCCTCTAAGAATGGAATTTAAATTTTCTTTATTTTACAATAATTGTCTTAAGGAAAAAAATATTTTTCTCAATTGCCATATGATTTTCTTCCATAACATGGATTGCATTATCGGGTTACCTAAATTAAGAAAAGAAATACACAGGCACAAGTGGCTTGTTTGTATGACTTTTTTCTTTTTTAAGGAAAAAATGGATTGTTTTCTTTTTTTTTTTATGACTTATTTTAAATGTAGTTAGAATTTAAAAATAACATATATGGCTAAATTTGTGATGCCTAACCAAGCCTCATACAATTGAGCCCGGTCTCGCATACTCACAAGGGCAATTTTTAAAAATACTTCTTGAAATAGAGTTTCTTTTTATTTCTATCCATTCATATTAGCTCATATATTTTTACCTTTTAGATTAGAATTAGTCAATGGGTAGATTTTTTTAAAAGAGATACGTTTAGTAAGTCAGGTACTTAAAGAGATTTTCCCACTCTAATAAATTTACACAACCTAAACCTGAGCCATCCAACCCTACCTCGTACCCATCTAATTTTGTGCAACTTAAAATTAACCATTGATTGAGAACATGCAAAATTTTTTGTTTAAGTACAAAATCTAAAGGTATAAATATGCAATGGTCTAGAAAATCTGGTATACTTTTTTTTTTTAATAAAAAATGCATGGTATAAAATAATTAAAAGCCTTTTATAAATCAGTAAGAGTATTATAGGAATTAAAAGTTGTTTTTTGGGTAAAATAGAGCTTTGACAAAAAAAAAAAAAAACGCGCAACAACTCAAAATATATAATCAAATAATTTTTCTATAATCACAAAATATAGGGTAGAAAAATGCAAAAGACCCACATGATAATATCTCAAACAGATGTATTATATATACTTACAATGAAACCAAGCTCATAAAAGTTAGCAATGTTCCCATCTAAAAGAGACTAAGAGAGAAACGCGTGTACATTGGCGGAAGAAACTACACATGTCGTTTAAACAAAGAAAGTGCAAGTCGTTTCTCACTCTCGTCTAATAAAACTACTTGTCGTTTTCATTTCCCACAATATAAACGACATGTCGTTTAGTTAAGTCGGTGTCACTTCAATTTATATTCCTACATGTTGCGACATTTAGAACAGGATATTTTGCATAGATATCCCTTTAACTTTGCGATTTTGATAATTTAATTTCTTAACTTTTTTAGCCACTTTAAATTTTAAAATTTATTGTAATGTTAGTTAAATTAAAAATAAATTAAAAATTTAGACGATATCTTCCGTATGAATGTTTAATAAATGTAATTTAATATCTTTTTACATCAAATTAATCTTCATGTCACGATTTAATTTAATTTTTTTTTTAAAATTAGGAGTTAATAGTTTTAGAAGAAAAATTAGGGGTCTCCTAATTTTAAAAAGTTTATCATTCATGATGTGTATAAAGAGTTTAATTCGATGTAAAAAGACTAAAATTATCTTTATTAAACACTCACGTGAAAGATGCTGTCTAAATTTTTAACTTTGTTTTTAATTTAACTAACAATATAATAAATTTCAAAATTTAAAGGTAAATTGTCAAAAAAAAAAGTTAAGGAATCAATTTCAAAAGAGTATCCATGCCAAAAAAAAAAAAAAGCCTTTAAAAAAAATGTAACCAAGCTCATAAAAGTTAGCAATGTTCTCAAACAGATGTATTGTATATACTTACAATGAAACCAAGCTCATAAAAGTTAGTAATGTTCCCATCTGAAGAGACTAAGAGAGAAACGCTTGTCCATTGGCGAAACAAATTACATGTCGTTTGAACAAAAGTAATGATCCGTTTGGTTCATGAATTAAAACTATGAGATTAAAATTATTTTCAATTTATGTGTGTTTTTTGTGAGAGAAAATACTGTAGCGAACCATGAACCATGATTCGAATCAGAGAACGAATCCTCCAACCAAACGGGCTATAAATGGTTCAACCCACACGTATAGTGCCCACTCCAACCACGTGTCCCACAAAGAAAGTGCAAGTCGTTTCTCATTCCTTCATCGAGTCGACGTTGCGTTTTTATAGAATAGCAGTACTCTCATCTAATAAAACTGCCTGTCGTTTTCATATCCCACAATATAAATGACATGTCGTTTAGTTAAGTCGGTGTCACTTCAATTTCTATCCTACACGTTGCGACATTAATTATCAAAAAAAAAAAACCATGTTGCGACATTTAGAAAAGGATATTTTGCTTAGATATCCCTTCAACTTTTCCATTTTGATAATTTAATTTCTTAACTTTTTTTAGCCATTGACTCTTTAAATTTTAAAATTTATTACAATGTTAGTCAAATTAAAAATAAATTAAAAATTTAGATGAAATTTTTAATAAAGATAATTTAATATCTTTTATGTCAAATTAATCCTTATGTATGCATTACGATCAAATTTTTTTTTGAAATTAAGAGTTAATAGTTTTAGAAGAAAAATTAGGGGTCCCTTCATTTTAACAAGTTTTTAATTAATAATGTGTATAAAGAGTTTAATTTAACGTAACAAGATCAAAATTATCTTTATTAAACACTCACGTAGAGAATGTCGTCTAAATTTTTAATTTGATCAATAATATAATAAATTTCAAAATTTGAAGGTGAATTAAAAAAAAAAAAAAAAAGGTTAAGGGATCAATTTTAAAAGGTATCCATGAAAAAAAAAAGCCTTTTAAAAAAAACTGCATAAGCGAACAGGTGACACTATAATATTAACGCAACTTTTTTTTTCTTCAATGCTGTGGGGCCAATTGACGTCAAGTTCAAACTTTTAAGGTAAAAGCAACTTTGCGTGTGCCAAATGGAATCTAAACGTGTCAGTGTTGCAGCTCATAACAAGGAACAAACAGATTGGGTAGTCAGTTGATTGTCGGCTCCAATGTCAAGTCCCCACATCGCTAATTTGCTTTAGCCCTTATACAACCATTCCCACCACACAACTTTTCACGCCCATAGGAAAAACAGGGTACAAAAAAACAAACCCACGTCCCAATTTCCCAATCCTCCCTATTTAACTTAATTAACACTCATTACACGATCATTAATTATTTACAAATCCCACGCGCCAAAAAATTTGCAATGCTAACAATCCAAAACCACTAAACATTTGAGCAAATTCAATTTAAGCCTAACCGAAACTAATTACAGAGATCTGTAGTTAAAAAGTTCGAGCGTTCGGTGACTCATTTAGATTATTTTGACGCCTTTCTTTTCTACAGTTGGTGACAGTTACTCTCACCTTGCCAACTCCAAACAATGTCCTTGAGGGCAGGCCTCACTTCCTCCTCACATAACTTGGTGTACTCAAGCGTGTCGCCGGCCGCCTTCGAGAACCCGACCACCGCCACCTCTGGCGCCACCTCAAACACCTCCACCGTGACGGCGAGCTTCCCTTTCCTTCCCTCCTCCTTCCCCTGCATCCTCACCTTAAACTCCTTCTCCAACACAAACCCGAAATTCAATTTCCTCGCCACCGATCGGAGCTTCGCCATGATCGCCGCCGCCGAGCACTTGGACGTGAACGTCGAAGCCGACTTCCTCTTGCTCTCGAACAGGCTCGAAATGTCGAAACCCGACGACATCGACGAGATGAACTCGAACGCGTTGTAAAACGGCGGCGACGACGACGGTGGCGATGACAACGACAACAATTCTCCGTTTCCGCCTTCTTCTTGTATCGAAAACGCGACAGGCCTAGTGAACCCTTTCTGAAACCAAGGGGTTTCCATGATCTCCGCTATCGAAATCCTCTTCTCCGGATCGGAAACCAACAGCCTCGATATCAGCCTCTTCGAATCCTCCGAAAACCATCTCGGAAACTCGTACTCCGCCTTGAAAACCTTCCTATACATCTTCACGACATTTTCCTCCCGAAACGGCAAGTACCCGGCAAGCAAAACAAACAAAACGACGCCACAGGACCAAATATCCGCCTTAGCCCCGTCGTATCCCTTCTTCCTCAGAATCTCTGGCGCCACGTAAGCCGGGGTACCACACTGGGTATGGAGCAACCCGTCGTTCCGGAGCTGCTCCGGCAGAGCCGAGAGACCAAAATCCGAGGCCTTCAAATCCCCATTAGTCTCATCCAACAGAAGATTCTCTGGCTTCAAATCGCGGTGAGAAACTCCTCGGCTATGGCAGAAGTCGACGGCGCTGATCAGCTGCTGAAAGTACTTCCTCGCCAGATCCTCCTTGAGCCTTCCTTTGGAGACCTTGGCGAACAATTCGCCGCCTTTGACGCACTCCATGACGAAGAAGATTTTTGTTTTGGTGGCCATGACTTCTTTGAGCTCCACGATGTTTGGATGTCGGACGAGTCGCATGATGGAGATCTCGCGCTTTATCTGCTCCATAACGAGGCCGTCACGCTTGACTTGCTTCTTGTTTATGACCTTTATCGCCACGCTCTCGCCGGTGACGAGATTCCTTGCGTGGTAGACTTTTGCAAAAGTGCCTTGGCCTAGGAGCCTCCCCATCTCGTACTTTCCGAACAGAATGTTTCTGGGAAGATCGTTACTAGAATGTTCTGTCTCTTCTTCCATGGCATGTCCGGTTGGTGATTGTTTGGCGAATTGGGTTTTGGGTTTCGGAGATTAGATGATTGGTAGTCGAAGAAGGGGGGATTTGTGGGGAAAGAAAGCATTATTGGAGGATGTGGGATTTTGGGATTGGTGGGAAATATCTTGGAATATTTTAATGGTGGGAAATTTGGGCCAATGGGAGATGGAACATGTGGAGAGTGGAGAGAATGGTGGGCCAGGCCTTAGCACAAAATTATGACATTCCGGCTGTATGTTTGGCGGTTTGGAAATGGTGGGAAAGTGAAGCTTCGAGCTTGATGGGGTTGAGGGCTATATTTGCCGAACAAACGAGTACTCGTATTGAGAGCCACTCACACACGTATCCATGTATGTTCTTGGAGTAAACAAGTACAAGTACATGGCTTAACATATTCACCAAAAAATAATAATAATAATAATATCAAGATAAAAGAATTTACGATAAATCAAATTAACAAAATATCAAAAATAAAAGGTACCTAAATTAAATAGAAGAGTTATTAGAATTTTTTTTTTTGGGCCTCTAACTATTAACATTATAAATTTTTGGTTCTAAGTTTCTGGTTTAATAAATTACTTTCTGAATTTTTGTTTTTTTAACGATTTTTGTTTATGACACTAAAGTTGATAAAATATTTTTAAGATTTATAAAAAATTATCATATTAACAATTTAACGGTGAAGAGAACACTATCAAGAATAAAAATTTAAAAAATAATTCGTGTATAGGGACAAAAGTTTTACAACCTTATGAGTTAAGAAATAATAGCGCTAACGAATAACCCTAAATAGAATTTTATTAAAACAAAACTGTGACTATTTGTGACTATTTTGGCTCATTGGAAAAAACTTTTCTTTGCTAATTATCCACGTATGAAGTTGTTACTGGGTTTTTTCGGCCTTTCTAATCCGCCACATGGTCTAGCTTCGTGTCAAGAAATTCAAGATTCACTCATTGTGGGAAAGAGGTAAAATTAAAAAGATACTCTAGTCTCCAACGTCTAATTATGTACATATTTGGAAAGACAGACAAGACTTTATTAGAGATTTGAATCTGGGCCCAAATCTTGATCAATTATGTGAGGCAAGATTATCAATTATATGAGGCAAGATAAGATGCCAGGATGGGATGCCATATTGAAAAGGAGCTACTTTGAAGTCTCTTGTGGTTTTTTCGACAAAGTAAAAGAAGTATTACTGGTGAATATTCTTTGGTTATGTTTTATGAAGCACTTGGCAGGTTTTTTTAAGCGGATTTTGAGTTTATGGTGTTTATTTATCTTGTTCATTTCTGAAAAGGAAAAATTTATTCAGCCCGATCGTGCTATAATTATACGAAATACAAACTGGTGATGCCTATTTATAAGACTCATACGGACCCTATAAATTTGTGTCTGATAGACTACGGCCTATCGAATGGAATAGAAAGAAAAATGATTCTACTTTGTTAAATGAGTAATCATAGTTCGTCCTAATCCACTTAGGGACAAAACTTTTCGTTCCTGAGTGCGAGAAAGTTTAACATGCATGAAAGAAGTTAACGCATATGTTAAACCTATTAATGTTAACAGAGTACACATGTCTCCATTATAGAACTTTCAAGAAATGGGAAAAAAACATTAATACTGAAATTTTATAAGTTACTTTTTGTAGAGTGTTTTGGCCCCACTACTTTCTCCCCAAGCCATGATTTTTGGCGCAGTACTTGGTTGAAACCTTGGACCGCTGTTGCAAGCAACATATTCATGCAAGAGAGAGAACTAAGAAATGTGCATTGAACCTATTGGCAGAGAGAATTATTAGTCACTCAAACCAGAAATCTCATCAAGGAAAAAAAAAGTTTTGATCATATAAAATAACTTCTTAACTTAACATAAGAATTGGTCTAAACAGAGTTATCTTTCAGTTATCTGCTCATAGGAGACATTCTATAGAACCAACGAGAACAAAAACAATATGGAGTTTTTTTTTTTTTTTTTTTTTTTTTTTAATTTCATATTAATAAATTTCTCTCTATGACAAGTTCTAGACTAATATTACTATATAAATGCAGTTACAAGAACTAATCCAATGTTGTTTTATTTTAAATTGCTTAAATAGGCTAGCTGTGTTTGTGTACGTAGTTAAAAAAATAAAAAATACTATTCACATGAGATCAGTGAGTCTCCGATAATATATAAGATTTTTGTTCTCTGCTTTTCTTTTATTTTATAGTTTTAGTATTTTCATAATGAATAAAGATATATATCTACTTAGATCTCGTTCTATAAAGATGATGAGTTGATCAACTCATATTTAATCAAGTTCCTGTTAGGTTTATGGTTTTTCTTTGTTTCTGCGTGGTTTCATATGTTTGACATGTAACTAATTACAAGTGTTACATCATTTGGAAAACTTTCAGCATGCAAAAAATGGACATCGGTAATACATTTGTTGTTGTATCAATCGAAAACCTTCTACCAGAGGCGGAATGCATTTTGAAAGAGCCAAAGATTTGGTTCTTGTGGAGTTCAATTTTGTCTTCTTTGTGAAGCTGTGTGCACACCAATCAAAATTAGTGCATGGAGAGGCTTTTCTTGTTCTTTAATTAGTATAAGCAACGGTTTTACTATTTTATTTGTTGATTATAATGGATAACGAATTGTTATATCCAAGTTGATATTTCCACAAAATCAAATTCACAATGCTTGTTTTGCCAAGTTGGACCAGGTTAAACGAACTAGCCTAAGACCTGTCATTATTAGTTCGGGCTAAGGTTTTAAACTCGAAAATTTAATCAGGCCATACCCTCTATTGTATTTTATCTTTTGTTTTTTAAAAACTTTATGAAATTTCGAGCTGGTCCTAGGCCCATTAGATTTTAGGCCGGATTGGGCCAATCCTTTCCGCTTTAAGACTGGCTAGGCCCGAAATATCAATTGGGGCCGTCGGGCCAAACCAGGCGAGTCAAATGAAATAAGGGAAAAAGAGGAAAATAGGCCAAAACTTAAGATGAATTAAAATTAATAGGTCAATAGTTTCCATAAGTTAATAAATAGGCTAAATTACTGTTTTTATTCATAACTTGTCTGGTTATGAACCATAACTTGACAAGTTATTCACGGTTTTTGTCCATAACTTGTCTGGCTATGAACCATAACTTGACAAGTTTATCCATAACTTATCTGGTTATGAACCATAACTTGACAAGTTATGGCCTATTAATTTCTATAACTAAAAATTGACCTAAATACTTTCTTAAGCTTTTCATATTGGCCTATTTTCTATTATTTCCCATGAAATAATTGCCATCTTTATTAAAAAATGAAAAAGAAAAATTATTTTGGACAAATTTCAGGTTGACGAGGTTTTTGCCAAATTTTTGTCTGGACGCACCAAATAAATGATTTTCTGGGGGAAAGTTATAATGCATATGTTTCAACAAAGAGTGAATTGCATGGGATAGATTCTTGTAAATGCTTGTACTTCTTGGAGTCTATAAATTTTCAAAGAAAAGAATAAGAGAGGAAAAAAACAATATCTCTAATGAGAGTTAGTCGCTGCGTTTTATTTTATTTTATTTTTTCTACAATATTACAGCTATCTTTTAAAAGAAATAAAAGTTAAGAACCTTTCTAGGTACGTCAACATATCAGTATGCCAAATTTTTTATCCGTCGAATCTATATAAAATCACATAAAAATTAAAAAGTACTTAGATCTAACGGTTAAAAAAATGTAACTTATTAATATGGTATGCGTACCAAAGAATCTCTCAAAAAATTATTACCTTTTAATTTTTGTTGTTTTTAATGAAATTTCCGATCAACAGTCGTTTTCCACTTAGTGCGCATCGCTAATTTTACACTCATTTCGTTTCTATGTTTGAGGTTTGAATTTAGTCTGCAGTCTCAAATTCAGAAAAAAAAAAAAAAAAAAATTATATAAAAAATTTCCTTTCGGCAAATAAAGGAAGAATAAAACTCCGTTTAAACTTTTTTTTTTTTTTTGTTATGTTAAGAAAAGGTCAACCCATGCTTTATTGCCATTGCACAATGTTTTTTAGGTATATGCAGTATTGGTTAATGTACATATGGTGAATCATCAGGTTTACTGGCTAGAAGAGGCTCTAATATAGTTTCCATCGTTCACGACCATTTTATATATTGAAGAAAATAAACGACCATATGTGTGTGTGTGTATATATATATATATATTAATATCTATATATGTATATATCACATACATACATACGTATATATGCGCTCAAAGTTACGTTATATAGTTTAGGCTAACAATGGAAAGATTTTAATTTAAAGAATTTTTCACTAATAGTGGATTTTTCAATGGAGGTCAATTACCATGATAATAAGCAAATTAGAGAGTCTTCTCTTACCATTCTGATAATCAGTTTTCCCTATATATCTCCGATTTTTCAAAGAAAGAAAAAAGTAGCCGTTGGAAATCTCAAACCTCTAACAAAAGCCAAGTCATATATAAGCTCACTAAATCAAACCAAAAAGACAGTAAAATATTTTCTGAGATTTCTTCATCAAGAGCAAAAGATTGAAATTAAAAAAATACATATATATTTAGCAAAGATTCTCTTCAAGATATATTCTGAAAATATGAGCCCCAGACGTTGTGCTGCTTGCAAGTATTTGAGAAGGAAGTGCCCTCCAGATTGCACTTTATCTCCCTATTTTCCTCCTAATGATCCTCAAAGATTTGCTTGCGTCCATAGAATCTATGGTGCTAGTAATGTCGTCAAAATGCTTCAGGTAATAAATTAATCCTATTTATCCTTTTTTTTTTTTTTTTGGCTTCCCTGTCAATAATAATCCAATAGCTATCTATTACCACCTTTTTAAATTTACGTGCATTGGTTTTTAAATAAAGTATATAATCTTTGTGCCAATCATTTTTAAGTTATTTTACCAAACACGTATTTATTTTAAAACTTTGTGCAAAAGTCAAAACACCTATCTAAAAGCAATCTCAAACGGACTCTTGATTACTCAATTTTTGTATTTATTTTCTTCTGTAAGACATGTATATTAAAAAAAATTGTAATATTGTACAAAATTTTATTTTATTTTATGTTTTTTTTTTCTAACGTATATTTTGGTTGACCAAATATAATTAGCAACTAGATAGTCATGATCTCCGTGCTCGAGCGGCAGACTCTTTGTTTTTTGAGGCACAACGTAGGATTGAGGATCCTGTCTATGGTTGTGTTGGGATTATTACACAATTACATCATCAAATACACGAAGCTGAAACTGAGCTGGCAAAAACACGTGCCGAGCTTGCCCTAAGGAGTTCCGGTACTGCTCTCACAAGCCATGTACAAGATCAAACCTATCATCTTCATCATCATGATCATCATTATCATAATCGTGATCATCATGATCAGCTGCTTGAGATTATGGAATCCGACCTCAACAATCTCTTGCAGGGGCAGAGTAGTATTCATGAGCAATCTCGCTTTGGCCCCACCACTAAAGCTCCTAATTGGCTGGTTTAGACCAAGGCTGAATCCTACATCCGTGGACATTGCCAATATTACATCTTAGCAGCGTGTACTTTTGTTTGCATGCTTTCAACTTTGTCGTCGTTTTTGTTTTTGTTTCTTTTTCTCTTCTTTTTTTTTTCCCCCTAATTCTTCAACAACCTACAAAATTATGCTCCATAATTTAAAATCGTTAATTTTTTATTATGTATGTTGTGTATTTTTTTTTTTTTTTTTGTCTTTTCTTCTGAGATTATGCAGTTGTAAATTATAATTCGTAATACACTTTACATTCAAAGAAAAAAAAAGGTAAAGATGAAAAAAAATATAGTAAATAATAGATTTATGAAACTATTTAATTAAATAAATAATTTAAAAACTGTTATTTACTTATTTTAGCTTTATAATTCGCTATTTACTGCAATTCCAAAAAAAAAAAAAAAGGACACGAAGGTCCATTTGACCAAGCATGAGCGTCGCAGCATTGTTGCGGCGGGGCCTGTGCCCAAACAGAACAGAGCCCAAACATTGAGAAGTGAAGATATTTGGAGAATCTTGAGGACGCAGCATTGTTGCGGCGGGCCTTGTGCCCAAACAGGGTGCAGCCCAAACATTGAGAAGTGAAGATATTTGGAGAATCTTGAGGAATACTGACCCATAGAAAAGAGGAAAATAAGTCAAGACTTGAAATGAATTAAAATTAATAGGTCAATAGTTTACATAAGTTAATAAATATGTCAAATTACTGTTTTTGTTCATAACTTGTCTGGTTATGAACCATAACTTGACAAGTCCATAATTCACGGTTTTTGTCTATAACTTGTCTGGCTATGAACCATAACTTGACAAGTTTGTCCATAATTTATCTGGTTATGAACCATAACTTGACAAGTTATGACTTATTAATTTTTATAATTAAAAATTAGCTTATATACTTTTTTAAGCTTTTATATTGGCCTATTTTTTACTATTTTCATAGAAAGAATTCTGTCACTCCCATAGGAGGGGGTTACAATTATACCACTGCAGAGGACTGCCCAAATGAAGTATCTTTTTGTCAAAATTTCCTCCGTTGGTTGCTAGCATCGGATGGTGGAGCAGAGCCATCGATCTTCACCGACAGCCGGTCGCCGGAGCAATCTACTAAATTACCACTGATAGTCTATAAGATTTTATCTTATTTTCAACATATCACCATTCGTTTTCGGGGCCAGTTGCTCGAGTAATCTAGTAGACTAACATCAGTAATCTACTAGATTAGTTTTCAAAGTCAACACATATCATCTGTTATCTTGTCTCCAACGCCAGCCGCAGGAGTACTCTACTAAATTAATCCCGCTAATCTTTCATATTCAATGTCAAATTGAAGAACCCTAATTATTAAAAGCCAAAATGGTCCCGCATAACACGTGTTTAAAAAGCAGATTTTATAAAAACTTTTTGAAGGGAAAACTTCATTAATAAATTAATAAATTACACAAATAGTCACAAATTGACCATAAAATTTGCACCGCACCCTGGCTTTATATATGTGTTGCACTGGACCTAATTAATTGTTAACTCAACAAGATTTACATTCTAAGAGTGGAAGTTTATTATGTAAAATTTTATTTTAGTATTCTTGTTATTGAACCTAGAACTCAAATATTAAAAATTTGAACACAGCCCACTGAACGCCAATTGCGATAACTCAATTTGCTAAATTCTACAAGTGGAAGTTGAATTTTGTGGTTACAAATATAAATTAACAGTAATCTCACGTCTATCTCCACCTTGAGGTTTAGGGAAGAAAAGAAAAAAAAAAATCGTTTCACCTTCAATCGCTATCTAGCATTTTGTGATTCACGTACGATACTAAGCATAAGATTTGCATTGACAGGGGGAAAAAAAAAAAAAAGCATAAGATTTGGATTCAACAACAAAGTTAAACAAACAGAACATAAAACAGGTTAGTTTAATATGCCACGTTTTTATACTCTAAAAAAAAAATAAATAAAAAAATTAATCGATGAACCAAATCCGTGCTTTCATTAAAAGATAACATTTTGCAGCTTATTGGGTAATAATAGGTACTACACACATACATCGACCTGGTTGGTGAGGTCAACTACAATTTTGGGAAGTAAACGCTAAATGCTAATTAGTAAAATAAAAAATAAAAAATAAAAAAGATACTTTTTTCGAATATGTTTTTGACAAAATATTTACCTTTATGTCCTAGATTAGATATAGGAGACGTTTGGTTCATAGATTAGAATCATATGATTAGAATAATTTTTTATTTACGTGTATTTTTTGTAAGAAAAAACACTGTAACGAATCATGAACCATAATTCAAATCATGATTTGAATCCTCCAACTAAACATCCCCATAACTATTCCGCAATGGATATCCGTACTGATGGTCATTAGATAGCTAATGACAAAACAGAATCTTATGCCATTCAAAAACAGCCGACATGAATTGTTGACAATAAAAGCTCTAGTCATTTCCAAGTCAAGTTTGGTATTCCGTTTTACCTTTTTAATTTTCTTCTTTGGAATATTATTAGACATTCCTAAACCCCAAATCAACAACGAAAATGTCACTTTCATATATTCAACACAATTATATATAATCTAATCGCTGAACTTCCTAAATCTTCTTTTAGTTAAATCAAGTGAAAATTCTCAATTTTCAAAACACGTGTTAAGAAGTATGACCATATTAAGAATTTTGTGAAATCTACTATTAAACCTTTCCATGACAATATTCCAGATTCTACATTCATGAAATAAAGTCCAGTACTTGATTGGAGGTGGACATAAACTAAACCCGTTCATGAATGGGAACATGGTAGACTAATTTTAACAGGTGCAATGGATGGATTGACCAATTAATATAGTTTTATATTAGGAATAATTAGTACTATAATTTCCTCATGAATTGGTCAGGGTCTATGGTCCAGTTTTATTCTCTACGATTATGCTAAGACTTTATAATGTTTATTTAAGGAATTATTTGTTTCTACAATTAACCCTACAGTCAATATTCCAATTGTGATACAATATTTATTAAATTATACAACTTGCACTTTGCGTTCACATGTATCCATCCTTCAACCAAGAAATTTCAATGTAAAAATGACTTTTGATTATCGTTTTGGCTGTGTTGGGTAAAAAGGAAGAAAATAGGAAGAAAACAAAAGGTATATTATTTAGGCAAGAAAAACGGGAAGATAGTGGAGCTTTCTTTTGATATGAATTCGCTGCTCTAATCTCTAGAGATATTAAAATAAAAATCCCCTCATTTTTTTTTTCTTAATTATATGGTCCCCACTGGACTTGCAATTCCAGTGTACAAATTTGTCCCATGTCCTTGTATTCAAATGCAAGTAGAACTACTAGTGGGAAAAATTGTTCTTAATGTATGACCTAACAAAATTATTAAATGTATAAGGAGATCAAATATGAAAGGGGTTTGAGTGTCATTTGATGTGCCTGCAGCAGAATAGCATCTAATCTTTGAAATTTCATTGCTCAGTTGTAAATTCATAAAGCAAATCACAGAAAATCTTCAGTAATAAGAATTTGATCAAAAGTAATGTGTAAACCAAAATATAAATAACGTGATAAAATATTTGTCCAGCTATCCCTCGTAAATGTTAAATACTCTGTTCATTTCACCGATTCGAGTTTAAAATTTGAGTTTTGTTACAATAAAAAACTCTCAGAAATAGTCACATCTAACTTTTTTGTTACAGTAAAAAACTCTCATATAAAGTCACATCTCAACTCAAATTAAAAACTCGAATCAATAAATTAAACGGGCCGTATAGTTTTTGAAGTTTCACATCACTTACCATACTTTTGGTATCCAAATTTGTCAAGCTACCAAAAGAGAAATATGTTTGAATTCACATAACTTGTCTCTCTGAAGACTAGGAAAGAGAGAGAACTGCCATAGTTTTGAGTATTTTTGTTGCGTTCTTCGGTTTGTGCATTGTTATCTAACTATTTATAGCACATTTATCATAAATGGAGCAGGCACAAAATATGAAAAGTGTCTCTCTTATTATTTGTATCGAAGAGTAAATTACATGATTACTCAATTTGTCAAGATATTACAAATATTTATAATATAATTTCTTACAAAATATTTTTCCTTTTTATATCTCATAGATTGTATTCTAAATAAAATTTATACATTTGACTTTTGGGTTATTCACTGAGCGCCTCGATGTCTAACACTACTAAAAAACCATCTTAGTACTACAATTCTTTCTTAATTCTAAGTAATCCAAGATAGGCACAATTACGTATAGAAAAGCACTTGATAACAAATAGATGGGAATCTTGTTTATTGTGCTTGTACTTGCCTAAATGGTGTTTTAGAAGCATAATAATATAGATTATAAGTAATCAACAAACGGGGATTAATTAGACTCTTTTATTAGGAAAAAGTACCTATAAGGTAAAAAAAAATACTGATAATTTTTTATTTTTAACTGTCATATTTATATTAAAAATTATTTATTTATTTTATATATTTTTTTAATATGATATAATTTTAATTAAATTTAATATTAAAAAATTGATACTACTATAGAGATTTATAGGAGAAGGTCCCTTAATTTCAAGATAAGTTAAACAACAGAGTTATTCTTTTTGAACTTCTTTTCCCCACCTTTTTTTTTCTTTTGCCATGACTTGACTCATTTGGGTTTGGGACAAGCCGATAAGATAGACGACAAGGTGACGGTGTCACTTAGAGTCAAACCCAAGCGTGTACATGTGATTTTATTTCTCCCAATTTCAAAACGTGTGTCGTGCGCGTCACGTTGAGAAAGTGCGCGTCAACTCCCACTCGCCACTCCTCTTTCATTTCTTTTTTTAATTTTTTTTGTTTTTTTGCTATTGAATACTTGAAACAATTTTTTTTTTTATATTTTAATATAGGTTTGTGTATTAGATGTCAACTAACATAAGAATTATATAGGCCTCGTTCATTTCACCGATTCGAGTTTTCAATTTTA